ATACAAGCTGACATTTAAAGGTGAAGATTGCTGTAGTTATGACTAGACTTGTAAGCAATTTTAAAGACTTTAGACGCCGCATTAAGTGTACCAAAACGTCGTGTACATGGTATCAGCATTTCAGATCGCGAAGAAAACAACAATAGCCAAGTATTAACAAACGAAATGCAAAATAGTTTCAAATAAGATTATCAGGTCGTGCTAAACAGGCTGTCCCAGGGCAATCACATCGACAATCTTCCTATGTGAATTGGATTAATGGTTGTTGACAAAATTTGTTTTTAGTTACACTGGACTAAAAAGCTCTTTTGAAGTTACTGGTGAAGTTACACGATCTCAAATTTGTTCTTGGTGGCCGACGTTTTGATGTTGAATTCTGTGTATTCTGTTTAGCCATAAGGGTAAGTAAATTGTCATAGTTACTGTGTAGATTATTTGTTGTGTATTGGATGCCTGGCAAAGGCATACAAGTTTTTGTTATTTTGCGAACATAATGGGGAACTATAGTCAAGTATGTAGAGTGCACTGCTTATCCAACTAGCATTTGGTATTTGATGTAATGTGTAAAGCCTGACAATGAGGACTAATTGCAAGGACTTTGAAATCCCGTCAAGTCCGAATTGGAGGCCTTTGAACGACTTCAAAAACTCATAAATTATTCGGGAGGGAAAAAAAAGTGAAGGAAATACATATAACAGAAATATATTGATTTATTGCATCTCCACCAAGGTTTTCAGTTTTCATAATTTTGAAAGCACTGTTTGTTGTTCTTCAATTCCCGAATGGCTAATCTGAAACAAAGTCTATTCAAATTGTCTTTGTCTGCTATTCATTGCATTCCTAATGAGCCTAATTCATAAGATTTATAATCATGTCATCTTCCAAGGAATTTAATGTTAATTGATTATTTCTAATAATTTAATCATCATTAGTAGTAGCTGGAGACATGGTAGAAGTAACTGGAAATAATAGACTATAGAAGTAACTAGAAATAATGTAAGTGACTTGAAATAAGCTCGAAGTAACTGGAAATAAGGAAGAATACAAAGTAGGAGTACTTCCTCTGGTTTCAAATTACTGCACGTGGTACAAATTACAATCAGGGATTGGCTGGATACCTCATGAATAATTAATGAGTTTTTGAATAAATTTTTCAAGACTCTTCCTTGTCAGGAGAGGTACCGATATATTAATGTTCATGTTATAATTTTATTGTTATGTGCAGGCCTGTACAGATCACTTAGCAGGAGGGTATGATGAGTTTTGCACTGATTGCCTAAAGTCCAAAGCTAATATTGGGAAGTAAGTTCATGCTATTTTAAGTCAAATATCTTATCTGCATGCTTACATAATACAAAGCTTATGTGTCAAAACTATATAATGATAGTGTATTGTTTCTTTTTTTTAAGTTGGTCTGCAATAAGGGATGATTTGACATTTCTTCTGGAAGAAGACCTAAGTAATGTGTTGTTATGCTCACTCCACTGCGAAATGCGAAATACAGAGCAGCTACTTGGTTCTCTAGGTCTATTTGCCTTTCGGTGCGATAGCCTTGAGGAGTGCAATGAATCACTCTCTCACTATGGTCCAGAGAACACTCAACACAAGGACAGAATAACCATCAACTTAAAAGCTGGACAGCAAACAGCTGTTTCAAAATCAAATGTCTCTGTAACATCATTTTCAGGTAAATAAATTTGAATAATGGAAGATTACATAATCTTAACTTGTAGGTAGTTCACTGATAATAATAATGAAGTAAACTTGACTTTTCATTCTTCGAAGGTAACACCGAAAGGAAAATTCTTAGCAATTGTGAAAGCATAGTTGACGAGTCCCTTCCACACAAAAAGGTTTCAAGCTACTTTGAAAGCGTTCAGGGTGCTGCCAATGACAGAATTTTAAGCTATGTGTCATTTATTAATGAAGTAGAGGTAAGCTAGCTTGAAACCTAAATTTTACAAAAACCTTTCTGGTTACCTTGTAAGTCATTCTTGAATCAAAAACTCATCATGGTATAACTAGGACAGCAAAGAACCTTATCGTATTGTTATCTACATGTAGCATTATGATAACTTTATCAATTACATTACAATGTATCTTTTCTACCGTGGTTAGTACTTGAAAAGCATCATCGATAATGGTCATTTCACAAGAAACTATGCAGACAGACAAGAAGAAATCTCTTTGGAAAACAATCAAGGTATAGAACAAAAAATAAATGAAGTGAGTACTGAATGAAAGAATAAATGAGAAATATGATAAAACTAATGACAGTCATATTCAGACTTTTCAAAATTTTTAATAATATGAAATTAATGATTATTCAGTATTATAGAATAATATCCTGAACAAGTATAATAATAATATGGAATAATATGGAATAATATGGAAGACAGGATACAATGAAATATGTCTCTTTTTATTATAGATCTAAAGAATTTCCTTGAAAAATGAAATGGCATTGTATCTTGAAAAAGTTGAACAGCAGTATCTGACTTCCTGTGAGGAGCCACAGGTCAGTTCACCCTCTAAAAAGAAAACTAAAAAGAAAAATACTTCAAAGTCCAATCCTGTTGATCACCATTTAGCTGAATTAGCTGCAAGTATACATGTGGACCATTTTAAGAAGGTAAAGTCAACAGTAATACACTGTAAATGGCTAAATAAAGAAATATAAAATTATTTTACATTCTATATTCTATATAGTGAATGAACATTGCATGACTGTGCCATGTACAGAGAAGTCATTTGTTCTCTTGACTCTATAATGTCCTACATGTAGCCTCTAAGTTCCAGTTGTATAATGATAAATGTACCACTATACAGTAGATACGTCCTCATCAAGGCAGAAGGGTCCATAAAAAATTGAAAGAACATAATATGACTTTTTTCCCTTTAGATTTTCAAAGGATGGTCTGACATTGCAGAGATAATGCGTCAGAAGGAGTTTAGTGCAGATCAGGAGTCTGAGATAGACAAATTTGATGTGAAGGTATGTCAAGTATTTTATTTCATAAAACTTGCATTTAATATGAATAAAATTATTTATAAAATTCCTAATTTAATTGAGAATAATTATTCTGGTAATTATTTATAATTGATAATATTTATATTGATGGTATGTTTACAGCCTTTTGCACAAATTATGAGACATTTTTATATATATAAATATACCTAACCAAATATCAAAAACACCCAAGAAATTATGGGATACCGTCGCTGATATTTTGTCTGTAACAACCTGATGCTAGGCAATCATGACAAAATATAATAGAGATATACCATAATTTCTGGGGTGTTTTTGATATTTGGTTAGGTATATTTATATATATAAAAATGTCTCATAATTTGTGCAAAAGGCTGTAATATGAACAATATTTATGTATAATAGTCTCATTATATTATTATTTACTTTCTTTCAGTGTAAACTATGGGGTAGGCTGATGCGTCATGTTTTTGGTGTCACATTAGGATGTGGTGATTACTTAATTTTAGGCAATTTTGTTAAGGAATAAAATCACAATTGATTACACATAGTATAAACGGGAACGTCTAACACGTTGCTCTATAAAAAATACAATAATGACATATATAAAGTAAAATGATTTAAAGGATTTCGATAAATACATATATAAGACTATAGCATGCAATGGCTAAAATAATGTTGATAGGAACTGTTTGACTATTTACTGTAGTGTACAGTTGTAGATGATTTTTAAGAAATCTTATAATTCATATTATAATACTAAAAGATTAAGAATACTGGAAAACTGAATACCGGTAATGTATCTCTTAAATGAGTAAAAATATAGTTATCACTCTACACTCTCACATTATTTAATCAATTCTTAAAGCATCTGCTAAGTTTGTGCTTTGTTGTATGAATACACCCCTCCATTTTGATGATAGACTCAATTAGCTTATTTATGAAGTGCTTTATATCTAGTGACTGTAGGGGGGGGGGGGGGTGTATGTTATCCATTTTTACAAGGGCGTTTATACATGTACATTGCTCTTTTTACTTTAAACATTTGCCTCTTTTTTATGCTACAGGGAAAAAGAAGTTTTCCAGGTAGTGGCTGGAAGAGTAAGGAAATAACTTGGGCAAAAGAAGATCAAACATGGATCCATGCCACAGTCAATTTACTTGCTACCATATATGGAAATGATACTCTTAAGTATGAGTACTTTCCAGAATGTGGTACAAAAGTAACCCCTGAAAGCGATCCAAGAGTGATCAACGACGAAAGTAAAACACCACTTGATGATGTAAACCAGTTTGATGTTGAAGCTGCGACTGGCAAACGTCCAAAATGTAGACGGAGACTGTATAAAGCATCCTCTTCAAGTTCTGGTTTGGCTGATTCAAAACATGCAATCCAGAGCAATCCTTCTTGTACACAACCAGATGTGCAGCCAACCAAAAAATCGAATACCAATACTTCTGATTGCAGTTCTTCTAAACCTGTGGCAAGCACCATTCCTTCTAATTACAGCAAACACTCCACATCATCATTGAACAGCAACAGCAATATCATTGATGTTAATGCACAAGATAATTCAGGAGTTGCCATTATTACTCTTCCTGGGCTGCACATGACAAGAAAACAGTTTGCAGACACACCAATCCCACCCATTGGCATGAGAAACAACCTTCAACAAATAAAAGTTCTCCATGTCCAAAGTGTTCCATGTTCCAATCCCGACTTACTCCATGAAAGACCAGGAAAGTTTTTTGTCCAAAAGGCCAAGGAGATGCTAAGAAAAGAAGATGGAAAATGTGTTCAACTTGGAAACTATGGAACTTTTGATAGAGGTGGAATGGATGTCTTGGACAAGTTTTGCCAAATTGCTGATCTTAAAAAAGAAGTAGCCGAAGAAGAAACATGGTTTAATAGTTTTAACCCATCATTGACTCACTATGAAACATCGCTTATGCAGAACTTTCTATGGCATCGAAGTTCCACAGCAACAATTTAAAGGGCAGGGCACAAGTCAATGGATGCCTCGTCCCTCTCCACGTTAGTCAAAGAGAGATATATGGATAATTTCCTCATTGATACAGTCATCACTAAGTATTTGGAAGAAAACAAGAGTACCATTTGTGCGTTTCTTCCCACTGAAGCATTTGATTGGCTTTTGTCAAATGACCACAACTTCATTGTCAATAAGTTGAAAGGAGTGCTATCACATTTTCATGGGTTTCAAATTCTTCTCCTACCACTACACATGCAACATGCTCATTGGGGCTTAATAGTCATAGATTTCCAACGTCAACAAGTACTGTTTGATGATGGTTTTCACCTTGATCCTGGGCATCTAGTGATGAAGAATGTCAAGAAAATAATGCAGTATGTAGGGGAAATATTCTCAAATATTCCGTCTTTTGATGACGTCAATTCATTCCATCACTTTGGTATGCCAAGCCAGCCAAGTTCTCCTGCAGAAGGATCTGGCAGTTGTGGAGTAGGCGTCATCCTATCTGCTAGAGACATAAGGTGGGTTCACACTAACTAGTTTAAGTAGGTCTAAAGTGTACTTTGATCGTACTTGAACTTTTTTGCGTGTGAACGGTCAATTACGATATCGTGATCAGTTCAAGTAATTACTTTGTTGTTATGGTAACTTCCCGTATCACAAAGAAGCCGCAGTGCGTTCCAAGTAAGGTTGTAACCATACTTTAATGATTCTAATCTACAATGTAAACAGCGAAACGTCAAACTTATTTGTCATCACTGAACATTACAAAATAGTTTGACCTCTCTAAAACAGAGTTTTACTTGCGTAACTCATTCCAAGATCGCGTACACGTGTATTTTACTCCAGCATGAATCATTACAGAAATCCAGCGAATGCTTCACGAGACTACTTGTTTTCAATGTAAGTACAGAATTCAATGAATCTTTTTTTACGTTCACTTGTTATTGAGCTAGATATAATCTAAAACTATCAAACATGTTCGATCATAGGAACAACTTTCAAGGAATTCGCCTGGCTTCAACGAATACCCCGAACCAATACACTGCACTCCAACCACCAAATGCCCAAAACCAATATGCACCACATGTTGGTTTTGTGTTTCCTGGTTCAAACGGGGGTCAATGGATGCCTTCAGGTTACAACCAAAACCCTAGTCAGCCTATCAGCCAGCCATCGACCAGTAGCCTAAGTGTAGAGAACCAGACCGGCGACACATCAAAACAAGCTCCTAAAAAGAAAGCGGCCGGCTGGTCAGAACCAGAAACACTAGAACTCATCGAGGCCTGGGGCGCAATTTCGAATACCATCTACGAAGTCTATACGAAAGCCTGGTGAAGCAGTGAGCGAACTCTTCCCCAAATAAAGAAAAGGATTCAAAATCTTGAATACGAATTCAAGAATTTAAAGCAAAAAGCCCGCTCAACTGGAGAGGAAGGGCTAAAGAAAATCAAAGAGGCCTTTCCATACTACGACAATATCGACCCTGACAATATGCAGGTGGAGGGGACCTCTGTATTCGCTGAGACCTCAGAGATATCTGCTGAGTCGGACAGGTCAACGCCCACATCCGTTGGTTCCTCTACCCCTACAAGCGATAGCACAGCTACAGAAACTCCAAAAACATCGAAAGGCAAAGGCCCAGCAAAGAAGGCCAAAAGGCGACGAAGAGACGATGACGATGAGGAGAAATGGGGCGACAAGATGATGGAGGTGTTTGAGCGCGGGATGAAAGAGGACAACGCGCGCTTCGAAAGGTGCATAAACTAGGTTGGAAATCCAAACCTGGTACCTGGACAACTCTTCTTTGCATTGTATTGGCTTTCCCTCTGGGGCCTCTTAAAAAATAAACTATTATTCGGGAAGTCTTCTCCAGTGTGACGCTGATTGTGGTGTTTCATTAAGGCGGCCGTTGGTCGAAAGTCCTTACGGCAGAAGGAACAACGTTTAACAAACATTGTCGCCATTTTGCAAGATGTTGGACCTCCCGTTGTCTACGCGAGAGTTAAATGCTTGGTGTGCTTTAAATCATGCGTGCTTATATCCGGTTTGATCAGTATTCAAATTCTTTGAGCCCCCCAAAAGACTAAATTTGTTTTATCGAAGAATAGTTGATATTATAAAAAAAATTGCCGTTTGGATCATACTACTTATAATTCATGTGTAATTAGTTTAGCCGTATTGCGAAAAAATGTACATCCTTACCCTGAACATATTGCTATGGATAAACTGTATGATAATTGTATGAGGAAGTAGCTGATCCCATTAAAGAGTGCTCAATACACATAAAGTGTAGAGCTAGTTATATATACAATATCAAAGAGGCAAGATTTTGCTGTAACTCCGAGTTTCGTGCTACGCACTCATACTGTCTGATGAGTGCGTAGCACGAAACTCGGAGTTACAGCAAAATCTTGCCTCTTTGATATTATATATATTAACATATATAAACTGTATGATATATAGATTTAATGGTATTTTTGATTTGAGTGATTCTACGATCATGAAGGTACATTTTTTTCCTTCTAAAAACGAAACTTGAATAGTTTCGTGATAATCGGTAAAAGTAAAAAAAAACCCGGTGCAATAGACACAAGTTCATTCAAGGTCTCAAAATTTCAACATATTACTTAGACTAAGTAGTCGTACGAATGATTGTGAAATAGCTGCTACACGACCACGTGTATAAGAGCCTCTCACACGCAGTCATTGCATGACGTGGTTATAGAGTATCCTAAGTTTTAGTTAATCATGGTAAGTGCAGATATTATTCAATCTCATAAAGCTCGAAGGAGGCTGAAAAGAAAACGATGGCAGAAAAAGAAAATTGAGCAGTCTGCAGAGAAGAGACGACAAGATAGAGAAAGGCGAAATGAAAAACGTGTAGAGCAACTGCTTCAAAATCGTGGCCTTGACAAGCCCGCTGAATCTGTTGAACCAGCTAGGGACAGAAGCAAGATATTAATCCCCGTTTGCCGTCCGAAAGAGATCGTCTCGAGTCAGATTCACAAAACCTCTAAGTTTCTAGGTGGCGGAAGCTTTGGGATGTGTTATTTGGCGTTTTACCGCGGACTTCAAGTTGTAATAAAAGAAGTGCGAATATTGAGACGCGGAAATGAAACAGAAGACCAAGCCAATAAGAGAACAAAAAGGGAAGTATTGCAAGAGGCAGACACAATTGTTCGACTGGGTGACCATCCGGGATTGCCATTACTTTTTGGCGTTTGCACCAAAGTCTTACCTCTGCGAATAGTGCTACAATTCCTTAGAGAGGGCTCTACAAGTATGACGATATGTCGCGCTTTGAGAGAAAGAAAGGTGAGCCAAAAAGCAGAGTGGAATGCCATCATTATCAAAATTGTTGAAGCCTTAAAGCACATTCATTGCGTAGGCTACTTACACAATGACTTAAATAACGTGGTTCTGGACAAACGCGGAAGCATATATTCCCAAGTAATAATAGACTATGGAAAAATCACTACGATCGCTAAACCGAAAGGTCCAAGAAAGCGATGATCCAGAATTATGAGCGATGATCCAGAATTATCAAAGAAGAGATATCCCCATATCGCTCCTGACATAGTGGAGGGCCGTGAAGGTCAGTCGGTTAAAAGCAACATCGAGAAGATCTACACTAAAACAAACTATGGACAACTACCTCCCGTAGTTGTCAGGTCAATAGCACCAGATGCAAGTGAAAGACCTGACTGTCAAGAGATTATTCAATATTTTAAATCAACTCTGTAGCTTTGTTTCGACTTTGTACTGCTGGTGATTGTTGCCTCTTTTTTATGTAGTAATTTTTTGCAGTTAGTTTTAGGATCTGTTTATCAAGTGCATTGTATTAAAAAGAACTTGTACTTCAAATAAAAAAACTTTTACTGGTTGCACTTGACTGCAGCTTATCTGTACTAATAACTGTGACACTGACAGATACATGGCAGAAACATTGCAAGCTTATGAGGCTATTGAGATATTGAATATCATGGCGTCCTGCTGATGTCCGTGGCTTTAAAACCCAGACATCAGCAGGAGTCTTTCGTTTCAAAATCATTTAAAGCTCGTCGTGGTAATAGTTAATAACTGAGAACCAAGATATAATAACTGAGCTGTATAGATCTATATGCCTGAGTGCTAATACACATAGTGTAGAGCTAATTATTCATATAATATCAAAGACGCAAGATTTTCTGTTAATCCGAGTTTCGTGCTGCGCACTCATCAGACAGTATTTAATACACCAGTTTCGAATTCATAGCACAAAGCCGCTGCTTTATTCGACAAAGAACTTATATATTATATTATTACATGTATTTTTAATTTTAAATACCTCTCTTATTGGGGCAACTTGATCTCTAATCATATCGTCAATGTCTTGAGGAACACCTTCTGGTCTCTCTCCTAAAAATCCCATTGCATTCTGGTTATTTTCTGGATTCACCAAATTATTTTGCTTTATCAAAAGCAAATTCTGTAGTGGCCACTTACTGGGCTTTTCTGTGTCATTCCAAAGTCTGTTGCTCTCATCTAGTAGCTCAGTCCAACCTTATGTTGTTTCATTGTCGGTGATAATTTGGGTACTTAGAAGGTGAAAGTGGCGGTGCCCGCCAGAGGAGCGATATGAGGCAAAATTCGCCCAATTATCGAGCGAGAGCAGCTCAAATAATTCCGACATTTCAGCCTCGTCAGAGCAACGCAACTCCACGAAGAAGAGAAAGTGTGTAAAGAAGAAAAATGGCAAAAAGAAATCCAAAGGAAAGGCAGAAAAGGCACACGAGGCAATGTGCAAAAAAGCTATGAAAACTCTGGATAAAGTTAACGCGTTGCTTGATAAATACGGGGATTCAAGATCAACAGAATAATATAACTAAAAACTTTACTCAAGTAACTACTCAAGTCAAAAAATGTAAATGATATTTTGTTGAACATTTTGTATGTTATACATGATTTGCTATTAAAAGTACCGTGTCGTATGTGTGCGTTTCTCGTACGTGCAAKTTTGCATATTTAGTGAAACATTATCATTGTTAGTGTGCTTACATGGAACATCTCTATTAARTGTCATCAAACGAAATTTTACATTTTAAAAATGGCTTTAACAACGGCCTTTGTTCAATCGGCCTTTTGATAAACGTTGAGTGTACAAAGTTTACTTTCTTCCTGCCTACGTTTAATAAATTCCATATAACACTGAACCAACGCATTTGTGGTCTCAATGGGAAGCGAAAGCATATTATGACGCCGTAAAAAAACAGCGGGCGACTACGTCGTGGTACGAATCTCGATAAGGATTGCAGCGCAATAGAGATTCATTGTCGTTAACAAACAAATTGCAAAGTACTTGCGCAATCTTTTGACTGTTATTGCAACTCCTCAATCTGGCTCGTCGAGTCTTTATGAGGTCTGCACAACTGATATGTAGGAGCTGGTGCTTATCTAGTTGCTTCAGAATTGCTGCAACACGCGTGTACAGAGTTTGGTCCACCGCACGAACCCCCTTAAGGAAGACGTTCTTTGTATTATGCGCCTCTGCCATCAGAGACGTTATATTAAGCTTTAAAGCAACATGCCTCGATATTGGGCAGCTGCATCGGGAAAAACGCTTTGTTGGATCTCTTTTTCCTTGAGCGATACGGCGTTCGTAACACCATTACGACGTCTTCAACATTTTTTGGCATCTGGTACAAAACACCGCTTGGACGGCTATCGGCGACTTTCGACCAGTGTCGATGTAATGGCATAAACTTCAYTTAAGAATAAAATTCACATTAAAAAAACGAACTATGTTAACATATTGCACAGCTTTCTTTTGTCACTATCTCGGGTATTTTACTACACTGTCAATTCTTTTAGCGAAAAAAACTTTGATAAAATCAAACATTATACGAAAAGTATAATGGCATTTTTATCGAACGCGGTCGATTAATTGATGTATATGTAATAAATTAAGCATAAAGTCTATAAACAACTGAACTACAGGGTGCAGATGGCTCACATCTTTCATGGTATAGGGTAATCAGTCACATGTCTTCCGCCGGAATTATACGGCACGTGGTCACCTGACCATTCGTAATCTGTGATTATATATCATCGAAGCAACACAGCGTATCGCTACTTTTAGCTTGCTACGAGCAACCAAAGAGATCTTTGACGACTCGGGATTACAAGGCAAGTATTTTATTTGCTTATTTCCCATGAGTAGATATMGGTTAAATAGCTTAGACCGATGTTTCTCTTTAATAGTTATGGCCGCACCCCGGGTTTTGGTTTTCGGGCACTCGTTTGTGAGGCGCTTAAAAGAGTTTGTTGAGCGTTACTCCCACGACCTGAGTTTGGAT